CAAATGCTTAGTGTGAAAATATCATCATAATCTGCATATTGGTTATACACTTGGAGATTTGTAGAGAACAGAGCATTTTTATTTGAGTACTTCTTGTCTATCTGGTTCCATTTCAGTGGAATGCAGTGTAACATACTCTGGAGCAACATGTGGGAAAGTGTGGAAGATACCTCCATCCATAAGGATCTTACCACCTAGTTGAAGAGGAGAGCTTTTAAAGTAAAGAATTTTATAACCATATGAGACAACATGTAATCAAGTGCTACAACATTGAAGATAAGCACACAGGGAAAGGGGAGGGTCCTGCAGGGGTGAGAGGTTGAGGAAAGCTCTCCAAGAGCTGAGTTAGACATGAAGACACTGAAGGATTTGGGGGTGGCCGTTCTCACATTCTCACAGGGAGAGTGCAGCATTCAATAGGGTGTGTGTGGAAGGCTCAGTAAAGAAACCCAAACATCCCGCACGGCCAGCCCCAGAAAGTAAACAATACCCAAGGAAATCACTTCTGCAAACAAAACAACTCTGTGATTCTCTTGAGTGACTCCATAAGGAGTACTTTCGCAGCTGGTTTAATTGGCAGCTACATTTTGTTTGGTGAAACAGAAACTAACAGGCAATCATTCTATTTACTGATATTAACTCAGAAACATCTCTAACCATAACATTTTCATTTTGTCTTACATGTTTTAAGACACGCTAAAGTGGACTTTTTGTTTTGAAGGACTTTAGAAGGTACACTTATAAATCCTTTTTTCTTCTAGGTTAAAATCTAGTACTTGTTTGGGAAACAAAATGCAGGACACATGCAGGTTGCTGAAAGGGAAAAAGGGACAGTACATATCAGACTACTCCAGCTGGGGCACCTGGGTGGCTCAGTTGGTTAAGCGGTTGCCTTCGGCTCAGATCATGATCTCAGGGTCCTAGGATTGAGCCCCACATGGGTTCCCTGCTCAGTGGGGAGTCTACTTCTCCCTTCTTCCTTCCTCATCCTCCTTCTCTCTCTCTCAAATAAATAAATAAAATCTTAAAATAAAAAAAAAAGAACGCTCCATCTTCCCAGAACTTCCTTCCTTCCTCTGAACTCCTCTTCCAAAAATTATTTCTCTTTTACCAGTCATTGGAAATTAATTTTGCTCTCAAATAAACTTACTTTTATTTGCATTCTTTAAGCAGTCTCAGGTTTGGTGGGAGAAGATAAGCATTTGTAGAGACCAGCATCCTTCCCTGCAAAGGGTTATCCTTAGGATTTTCATGCCATTCCTGTTACTACCATTCATATCTCTGTATTTCATGCTGAAGCCAAAGGGAGTTCCACATTCTGCCCTGGATTTTGTATGAGTTTCGTCATTCAAGGGCAAGAGCAAATTGCTGGCAAGCTGTGATACACATGTTTATAATCACTGACATTTACAGTGCTACAAATAAAAGATGCATTCTTTCTACACACGTATATTGAGGATGGTTAGAAAAATCTGTTTTGAGTTAGGCTTCTTCCCTTTGATATGTGTTTCCAATTGCTAACCAAATGCTGCTTTAATTTTGTTTGTAGGAAGCTGAACTGACACCAAACGAAAACGTTGTTTGGACTGTTTCCTACACTTGGCTTTCCCCGAGGTTGGTATCACCAATATTCAGAGATCCAGGAATAAGCCACCTGTCAGATGAAGAAAAACCCAGCAAGATGCTGCTACTATGTTTTTCCAGTGTGCTGGCATGGAGACTTAATTAGTGTATGGAATGTGCTTTTGCACGGAAATTAAAGAAATGTATTGCAAATTTAGGAACCAGTGTGACATGTGGCAGCTGTATAGTAATCATATGGCAAACCTAGTGGCCTTTTTCTTTTTCTTTCTTTTTTCTTTTCTTTTTTTTTTTTTTTGCTTATGGATGGTCAGCTTTAAGCAAACTTTCACTGCTTTCTCAGTTTTCCTTGCTCTCTTTTCGTGTACCCTTCTTGCTCACAAGGAGCTCATTTTCTTAGTAACTTTCCCAGCCATGGTTCTGGGCACTTATCCTGTTTTTTTGCTCACCTTCTCCCTTACATGTTCATCTCTTCATGTTTTCGTGGCTGGACCTTACACCTCCCATCATTTTTCAGAGACTGCTCTCCTCCTAGCTGCCCATCCCCCTGGCCAGGGTTGACCTGGCTCTGTGTGCAATGTCTTACTAACTGCTTCCTAATCATTGCAGAGGCACCCATCCATCCGTAAGTTCTGAACTTGGATTCCTAGTTTTTGTTCTTCTACTCTTCTTCATTACCCTGTGAATTCCACTCTTGAGGTTTCTCTGGTGGTTCATTCCTTCCTGTCTTCTATAAAGAGTTCATTCCTTCCTGTCTTCTATAAATTCCCTTCAGAGGAATGGGGAGGGATTAACACAGGCATATTTTACTTGGCATTTTCCTTCTTGTCTTTCCTCAGTGACTTCTTCAGCATGGAAATATCTTAGTTTTTCTAGCACTGCCCCATAGACCTTCCTGCCATCCAAAAACAGAATGGAAAGAAGAAAAAGAAAAATGACCACACTAATTCCTGGGAGTTGTAGCAATTTAGGGCATGATTCCTCACATGGAATCATCGGTTTTGATTCTTGATTGAGATAGCAAGTCTCCAGAAGAGTTTCTCTGAAGTCATTTGGGTTTTAATGAGGTCAAAATAACCAGGACATGGAAATTGATACTATTGTCATAAATAAAGAATAGAAAGCATTTTGGCTCTTATTAGCAAGTAGACAGATGGACTGTTCGTTGTCATAAAACAAAGAACCTTCCTTTAATCTTTTTCTTAATTGTATTTTGCCTGAACTGTTTTGTAGCTATTTTTATCTATAATCTGTATTAGGAACTAAATACATCTATTTCAGTCTCTTAACTAAGATTTATAGTAAAACAAATTTATTTCTTATTAGTTTGTTCTTTGATTCATTGCATACTATTGGAAAGATGACCTCCATGGTGAGTCATTCTCTATATGCCCATTTGGGAAGCACTGTGGAAGAACACCGAACCATTATCAAAAAGGGGCCACAGTTTCTCTTTTTCTAACCTGATAATCCAATTCTCAACTCCAAGACAGGAGAAAAAAAAGTAAGGGATCTCTTTCCCTTGCCCCAACCCCTCGCCATTTCTATCCCTATCCTCCAGTCTATAGGTTGGGATAGGAGAGGATAGAAATAAGATGTAGATTTCCAATTTTTCATTCACTTATTTATCCAGTTATTCTAGGCCAACTGATTATTGTGTGTAGTGTACTGTGTTTTCTCTATAAACCCCAGTTCAGACTCAAGTGCTCAGTCAGCAACCTGTCTGGATAGCAGGTTCACTGGAAGGATGCTCTTATGTCTTCCATATGCTTGGATAATACTCATAAATAATGGATGCTCATTAAATATTTTATGTTATTGAGGCCACTGAGGTTTCTAGCATGCTAGTTACTAAAGCCTGCTTGCTGCTTACAATAGCTCTGTTACTACATCAGCCAAGTCCAAGGCTCAGACCTTCAGGTTGGGTTCTAATCAGCCTGTTAGGTTGGGGCTGCCATGTCTCTCCATGTGGCTTGATACAGAAGAGAAGATAGGAAGCAGTGGTGAGAGTGTCAGGACTGAAAGCTCAGAGGAATGGGTGACTACTGGCATGAACTCTGGTCCCTGGGTTCACACAGGGTGTTCATACCAACTCTGAGCCCTGCCTCTTGCCTGCTCTTCTTTTTCTTGACTGGCATTCTGGGGTAGCACTCCTTGGTTCCTATCACAGCGGTCTTTCAGCATCCTCTGGGCTCTATGATTCAGGCCCTGAAGTTTATTTATTAGCCTTTTTTGTTTCTGCCCGAGTTTAAAAATTAAATGTCTTGTGACTTTTTTTTTCTTTCATTGAAAATTTCTTTCAATGCAGCCTGGTCTATTAGGAAGAAAAAACTGAGAAATCTAACTTATATTCTTGGTTCTGGTATTAAATGGGCAACCTTAGAAAAATCTTTCCTGGGACGCCTGGGTGGCTCAGTCAGTTAAGCCGCTGCCTTCGGCTTAGGTCATGATCCCAGGCTGCTGGGATCGAGTCCTGCATTGGGCTCCTTGCTGGGCAGGGAGACTGCTTCTCTCTCCGCCTCTGCCTGCCACTCAGCCTGCCACTCTGCCTGCTTGTGTGCTGTCTCTCTCTCTGACAAATAAATAAATAAAATCTTTAAAAAAAAAGCAGGATGTATGATATCTTTGTCTTAAAAAAAAAAAAAGAAAGAAAGAAAGAAGGAAAGATCTTTCCTATGGAAAACTTTTCTACTCCTGGAATCCATATTGAAAATGACTTTGGTGGTGTGAAATGGTTAATGAGCATGTATAATACGCTGGATACTGTGTGGGGCATTTTCACGAGGGTCTCCTATCCTAAATATCTGGAACATCTGCAACAGGATAAGAACTTGAATAGGGCAGGCTGATTCCTGAGAGCCATACCATATATTGTCTATTATAACCTTAGGATACTCTGAGGTGAGCATGATTGGGGGAAACTTTTAATTAAAGCTTTACTATACAGATGAAGGTATTGAAATGCAGAGAAAGAAATGACTTGCTTAAGGTTATACAGATATTTAGTGGGAGATCAGGGATGGGAACACATTGTCCCAGCTTCTAGCCTAATATTTTCTCCACTATGCATCTTCCCTATGATTCTGAATAATTTTGGACTATGCAGCCCTGTCAATGGATATATTGTCAATATACTCATGTGCTACATAATCTATGCTTACTTTAAAAATTTTTAACATAAATTCTTTCAATCATATATGAAAGTAGAGAATAGAAAAATAAAACTTCATATGCAGAATATCAGCTTGAATCATTACCAACATTTGGCCTTCTTTTGGTTTCATTTATTTTCCTTTTTTAATTGTTAAGTTTTTGTTTGTTTGTTTGATTGCTTGTTTGTTTACATTGAGGCATTTTATTTGCATGTATGCATTACATCCCTAGAAAAAGAATCCCAGGGTTTTCTGTCTTTTGTGTTTTCATCTTGCTTCTTCATGGTCCATGATGGCAGCTGGGGTTGTCAGTACAATGAAACCAAAGTGGTGGGAGGGGAGTAGACTGTTCTGTCGTTTTTCTAGATCTTTGAGTTGTATATCAAATCTGGGTTTGATCATTCTACATTTGTTTAACCTGCCGAAGGGGTTCACAACAATTTTCCCAGCTCTGTGATCATAAATGATTTCAAATTCACCAATGTAACCTTGCTTCATCATCACAGTTAGAAACCAGATGATGACTTTGGAGTACGGTCTCATAAGAACCCAGCATTTGCCTCTATTTTCAGCATTGTTAATGCTTCAGAGAGCATCTGCCAGGACATTCATGGGCACCATTATGGCGGCATGGAAAGATGCTAATTTTTAAATATTTTAAAACAAATCTCAGACCATATAATTTCTCCTACAACTACTGGTGTATGTATTTCTAACAGTTATGAGATACCATCTTCATACTTAATAAAATTAACAATAAGTTATCAATATTACCCAATATGCATTCTATATTTAGTTTTTATCAATTTTTCTCTAAAAAGTTACTTCTAACAGTAACAAATTAGAGTCAAAATAAGAAGACTTGCATTTCATTTGATGTGCTGTGTCTTGTAAAGATTTTTTTAAATGTTTCATAAATCTCCATGCTTATTTTTTCCCTGCTATTTATGGGTTAAAGAAATAAAGTGATTTTTTCTGTAAAATTTCTTGTACTGTAGACTCAGTCAATTGCAACCTTGAGATACTGTTTAACATATATTCCATATATGTCCTATAAACTGACAGATGTATCTAGAGGCTCAATTTGATTACAAGTTTATTTTGGAGGAAAGACCATGTCATGGATGTTGTTATGTACTTCCGAATTGCATCACATCAAGTGATAGTAACACCAAGTTATACCACTTCTAGTGATGTTAAAACTGGCTGATGAGTTTAGGTAATGTGAGTCTTATCTAACCATTATAAAGTTCCCCATCTGTTTCTCACCCAAGAGTTTTAACTACCATTGCCCAAATCAATGATGTCAGCAAAGACTATAAAGTTCTGATTTTTTTCCTCCTGCATTTACTGATAAGAACTTTTACGTAAAGAACTTTTCCTCATCAACTATTTGTCTACTCTAAAATACAATGCATACAAGAAAGGCAAGTTAAATGTCTTTACTTTCAATTTTCATAATAATAAATCAGTATGCTAGCAATAGTGTTCAATGAGGCATTATCATTTTAGAGTTTTAAGAACTCAGGGAGCTTACATATTTAATGTGTTTTAAACTATGCGTTAGTAATGTTTTTGGTGTTCAAATTTTCAATAGCTAGCAACAGCTTCATTAAATTAGTCCTGTGTTTGACACAACCACCTGTATCTTCTTTGCCTTCTGGCATAATTGATGTCTCAGACTCTTGTTGTACATATGCTGCCTTAAACCTGAAATTGACTATTTCTCCAAGGAGTCCTAATTCATTTTAGTGATAAATATTACTCAGAATGTGTTATTAGTTTATAAGGGTCATTATTGTTTCTAGATTTTTTTAAATAAGCAATAATTAGAATGATATTATTAATTTATGTAGTAGATTACATGGTTTTTACTTAACTTTCAGGAGTTTATATCTGTATCTCTCTTTCTCTTTTTACACATAAGAATCTTGGTATCTGATGCTTCCATAGCTCATTCCTAATCCTCCTGGCAGTCAACACAGAATTAGACTGGGAAATTTTTGAGGTTCTTCTGAACTGTACTCATACCTCTCTTCTTCTGGGTTCTTAACACTATGTTCCATAGGCAACAAGCACTTGATTCTTTGTTGAATTGAACTGGAGTCCAAGTTTTTTTTTTTTTTTTAAGATTTTATTTATTCTTTGAGAGACAGTTGGAACACAAGCAGGAGAAGCAGAGGCAGAGGGAGAAACAAACTCCCCACTGAGCTGGGGGCCCGATGCGGGGCTCGATTCCACAACCCTGAGATCACGACCTGAGACGAAGGCAAACGCTTAACCAACTGAGCCACCCAGGCGCCCCAGGCCAAGTATTTTTTGAAAGACACTCTTTGCTGAGGCCCTGGGAAATAGGGACCATGGAGTTCAGGCATCCTAGCTATTTTTTAGTTCATTCTCTCATTCACCATTGAACAAAACTGATGCCAGCTTGTGGAAGACATGTGAACACGACTAATGGAAAGCAACACTTATCAGCAAAATGTAAACCACACCCACAGAGTAGTTGACTGTTTGGAGCTGTGCAGCTAAGAGATAACTGGATTCAAAACTCTACCAGCACTCTTAAGGGCTGCCTCTTCTATGTCTAGGAGGGAAGCGGACAGAAGGAAGGAGAGAGAAGGAGGTGGACTTTTTCTCCCAGGGAGGGAGAGGGAGGGATTGGTGGAGGGAGAAAAATGGGTGCTCAGCTTTTGATGGATAAAATTCCTGCAGATTGTTTTTTGCTGTGAGGCAGCCTTGTTCTTCACTTGTCTACGTATGGGAGCAGGCTGCTCAAGTTTGAGCAGAGAATGGACGCAGGGAAGGGGCAGGGAGTTATTTGTTTTCTACCTCCCAGAGGTCTCTGGAAAGCTGATGTGTAGGGAAACATTTGATTGAGTGGATGGATGCATATCCATCATATGGTCACATTTCTGAAACTCCAAGTTTATTTATTTCTAGTAATTGGTCCTCTGCTGACTGAAAGCTACAGTATTTAAGGAAAAAACAAAAAAACAAAAAAGCAAAAAAACCTTGTAGAAGACTGGCCATGCATTTTTTTTTTTTTTTTGCTTTTGTTTTTTAGACAGCAATACAGTATTTTGCAAAACACTGCCGGTGACATCCAAAAACTTTTCCTTGGGTTTCAGCTAATTGAGCTCACTATAACTCAACCAATAATCATTGACTATTTGTAAGACATTTATAAAGGAATAAGCATCCTGTGAGAAGTGATTAGTGAGAATATTCACCTGCAAACAAATAAGTTTAGAAGCATATTTTCTGTGCCACTAGAATCATTTCACTACCCACGTTTAGAAAACAACCTGATAAAAATACATCTTCATATACTTTCTAGCTTTTGGACAAGCACAGGTGTTGCTACTTAGTTCTCGAATAATCTTCTGAGGAGCCAACACAAGTCCTGGCATTCGGCTTTCTGCAAAACATCTATTTGAATTTCAGCTTTGTCTTTGAAATACCAGTCTGACCGTGTTTCCAAAGAACACGTCAGCAGTCTGTGCCAATTTTCTTCTGTACTGTGTATTTCTTCATAAGAAGATAAAGCACTAGCATTTTTTTTTAAAGTAAGAAAACACCTCTCTAAGAAAACTTAACTAAGACCTCTATACAGAGGAACAGGTGGAGCATGTCCAGATAAGACCTCAGTGCTGTTCACCAAAAATCAAATTGGAATGGATGTTAATTACACTTACTGTGGTGATTACTTTGCAGTGTACACAGTGATCAAATCATTGTGCTGTACACCTGGAACTGGTAGAATGTTCCATGTCAATCCTGTCTCAATTAAAAAAAAATCACATTGGAGATAAAACTAGAAAGAGGTTCAAGAGCAGCCGGAATTTTCTTTCATCTAAAGTTGTTTCTCAGGGATGCTGGAGTGGCTCAGTTGGTTAAGCGTCTGCCTTGGGCTCAGGTCATGATCCCAGCATCCTGGGTTCAAGCCCCAGGTTGGGCTTTCGCTCAGTGGGGAGCCTACTTCTCCTTCTCTCTCTGGCCCTCCACCCCTGAGTGCATTCTCTCTCTCTCTCAAATAAATAAAATCTTTTTTTAAAAAAGGTTAAAATGTCAAATTTTTAAAAAATGTTGTTTCTCACATTCCTGAATGGTATGGAATTTCCACCCCTTTGCTGACTTCTTCATCCTGTATCAGTAACAAAGGCCAAATCCAGGCCTATTGTTATAGAACTGTCAAATTACGTAAGTTAGCTCTCTGTGTGCAGACCTACATAGTACCGTACCAGCTTGTGCATGGTCATGCCCTCAAATATACCTCAGTGAGACCTAGAATAATAAATCAAAAAGAATAAGAAATAAGAATCAGACACTGAAAAAAAGTGTTACACCAACTGAAAGCATAGTCCATCTCACCTTTATGAAAACTGCCAAGCTCCTTAGAGGTAAGCAGTTTGCACAGAGTTGCTCAAGGCATGTGATTACGGCTAATGAAGGAAGGGTGCCTCACGCGTCTGCTGTTCTTGGTAGCAATGGAGGAAGGAAGTATAATTGTACCTTTCATCAGTGGAAGTAATAAGGAACTGAAAAATTATATGGCAGATGGTATCGAGTGGCTTTGTGAACTACTCTGCTGCATTTTCCCCTGAGTGTGACAATGTTTGTAATGTAACTGTGTTTTGCCTTTTGCGGCACTAAAGCCCTGAAAATGAATTTTTGATGGTTCTGAAGGAGCCCTGTGAGGAAAAGTTGTCAAATATGATATGAAGAGTTCTTATAATACATCTCTTAAAACGTAGAATGTGTTTTGGAAGAAAGGTTTTCTTGGGCTTTTCTCGCCACAGGTCTGTCTGGGTTTTTACTCCCCACTGGAAAAGCAATGCTGCTCCCTTATGGCGAATCCTTTAGTTCTGCTGCTGCAACCATCCATCCACAGCCGCAGTAGGTTCACGGTTCCTGATCACAGATTTCTGTGCTTCTGCCACTGTGGGCTTGAGACATGTGATGGTGTTTGGAAGGATATAAACATGCCTTGTGATAGGCCAAGATGGAGAACTCCAGCCAGTGGGATTGGTCAAAAGCAAACTTGGATAATGATCGGTGGAGAAAATAAAGCCTTTATTCTTGGCTACCGAGAGTGATGCCATCCAGAAAGCTGTTCTTTGATTTTACTGCTCTGGTGAGTCTCAGTATATCTCACACCCTGAGAGGATAAGCACAATTGAAAGACTCTATACTTGAAAAGAGCAGAAACCCTAAAGTTACAAAGATGTCTATTTGGGAACTATCAGAGCATTCCATATTTTAGAGGATTTTATTTTCCAGTTCTCCTTCAGTTCATGTAGAAGCCCTACTTCCTCCTTCTCTTTTTTGGCCAAAGGATGGGGACCTGGGCAGGAGTTCTGGAAAGGCCCATAGTGCCCTGGGAGCTTCCCATTCTGGTGGTGGCAGCTGGTGGAGGCTTATGATGTTATGCCTGTCGGTTTAATCTCACAGTTCCGACTAATGGGCACCACATTGTCCAGTAGCGCTTTTCCTGGAACTGTCTTAATGACTGTGAATGTTATTTTGAAAGGCCCAACACC